AACAAACAAAAACATAAATCAGATTAACTGATAACATTCAACAGCATTATTAAAACAAAACTTGCACGAAGCCAAATTTTATTAACAATCAAAAAAGATAAATAGATGTGTTTTAAACATGTTTGATTCAGGTAAGGGTTTTCCAAAAAAAAATTATTTTTTTGGAAATGACCATTTTTACAATATATTACATAAAAACTTTAAACTTTCTTAAAGAAATATTTTTTCAAATTTTTTTTAAATGAATATAGTTTTAAGATAACTTACGGAAGCTTTGAAAAAAATAACTTTTCCTACAAATATGAAAATTGGAAAATTGAGTACCTTTTTTTTTAAAAAAAAAAAGAGCGTAACGAAAATTTTTTTTTATCATGGTATTTTTTTAAATATCATACGTGCTTTTCTATTGTTATGATTTCTCTTTACTAAAAAAAACAAATATTCATAATTAAAAAAGTATATATGTTTTGTTTTGGTGTACTGATCTATAAGATAAGTTTTGAACAAAAATCAATTTGATACAAGTTTGTAATTATTGTAAAAATCTTTTTAAAAATATTTTTGGTTATATTATCTATTTATTTTATTTGTACTTATGGCTTAGTTTTGATTAAAAATGGATTTATACATGAAAAAAGAAGTTTTTAATAATGCCAAAGTTACAAATGTTTCTGGATCATCATGCGATCGTTGTCCTCATCCTGGAGGGTGGATCGCCTTATGGTCTGAACAAGTCAACCGAAAACCTAGAGTATGTTCGATATTTGGTTGCTCACGAAATGCTGAAGTTGGGGGGCATTTATGGATAGAAAAACGTTCAAGAAAATATTGTTATATTGCTCCAATCTGCAACGTGTGCAACAATCAAAGACATGACGCGAATACTTATTACAAAACAAAGAGTAATATTGCTTACCTAAAAATGGAAACTAATGATTGCATTCTTAAACGAAAATAACAATTATATAAGCAAATGTAAATTAATTAATAAAATAATAAGTTTAAACAAACGCGATGCTTTATTTATACATTTCATTAGTTGTAGACGTATGTAATTTTTAGTACGGTTTTTTTCCTTTATTAACTTTTATAAATTTTTTTAAACATAAATAGTATTAATCAGGGGCGGATCCGAGGTACGGCATATTGGCTAGCCACCTAAGGAGAAAATTATATTACTATTCAGATATAAATTAAGATGCTGTAACTTACTTTACCTTTTAAAGTTCAATTAGACATTTTTTATTATTCATTTTTTTGGCGTTTCTGACAAGTACCTTAATAACGAAGTGTTACAAACTATGATAAGTCAAATAACTTTTTTATGCAATAGGCAAATTAAGTTTTGCCTAATCTAATATCTGTATAATAATAATCTAACCCTAACGAGGTGTATACTTTTGTTTTCATTAACTAACGACAGTTCAATTTTGGCTAAAAGAGTATGACACCTGACACCTGATAAAAAAAAAACTGACAAACTTTAATGTCACTATCAGCAAAAACTCTGTATTTCAGAGGTTTTGCTCTGAAATACAGAGGTTTTGTCATACTATGACTTTAAAACCCATTGAGAGTCGGTAATCACTCATATGCAAATAAAACCAACATTAAACGTTAATTTAAAAACATTAATAGCTGTCTTAAAACGATTTGTATATCGGTTTTAATCAGGTTTTGTATGTGTTTTTTTCTTTTAATCGAAAAATAGTTACGGGTGTTTTCAGAGGTTTTGCAACACCATCCTTCTTATCATTCATTTTTTTTGGCGTTTAATCTGTTCATTAGTCATTTTTTTGGCGGAAATAAACTTAGACTTCTAACATCTTTTTTTGGTCGTATATTTATCTTTTATGCAAAAAACAAAGTTGTTTTGCACAGGCTTATCTGTGATGCCACTGCTCGAGCTATGATCAAATGTATAAAATCACGTAGCGATGCTTTAGCTGCAATAAAGACAGTGTAGAAGGAGAATGGAATAGAAAAGTAAATATTTAGAAACTGAATGCACTATTGCAAACCGTTTTTTAACATGGAAGGCAAGCAGACGACGATCATCATTTAGGGCTTTTATCACTGTGTTTATAACCAATTAGCATGGTGTCAGGTTTTTAATGTGATAAAATGCATTTAATATGCCTAGAAGTAGATTGCAGACTTTTGCTCTGATGGCTAAAGGGTCCTAAAAGTGTTAAGTGCTCAGCTTAGAAACTTACTTTACTTTCTTCTTCATTAGTGGGGTGTGCTGCTCACATGCCCGCAGAATTTGCCAAAAAGCCTAGATCTGCGTTTGAAATAATGGCACAATAGTATTGCGTGATGTTTTTACCTCTAAACTTTTACGAAAATTTCCTTTTTTTGTCTGCAGCAATTTCTATTCTTGTAAATCTAAATTTTTGTAGACAGTATATTTGTTATGCAAAACAACTTCTGGTGTTATGTCTAGAAAATATAAAGGTTTAGGATGGTGATGACATGCTTGTATACAATGTTCGTAATTTGATTCATTTAGCTGATGATGTGAAGAAATTCGGGTCAATAGATAACTACTCGTCTTTTCATTTGAAGATAAGCTTCGGAATCTAAAAATATTTATTCATAAAACGTCTTTACATTAAAGCAGATAGAAAAGCGCTTAGAAGAAAGATCTTATATTGATGCTTTTCAAACGGAATAATTTTATTAACATATCCGGGAAACAAATGGTTTTTGAATTTAAAAAGACAACCATGCTTAATACGCAACATTATTTTGATTAATGACCAGTTTAAAAATATTGTTGAAGTTTCTAAACATTTTTAGTTTTCTATATATCTCCTTTAGCATTTTCTATTTTTAATATTTTACGTATTTCCAATTCTTGTGGTTTTTATGAAACTATTAAAATTTAACGATCGTTATCAAAAATGTGCGTGTTTGCCAAGTAAGTAAGTCCCTGTCAATATGAGATGTAGCAAACAGGACTCTTTCTTCTGGTTCTTTAGTGAAAGCAGTGGTTTCTTTGTAGGGCGTCGAGAAAATAATCTGTCTTCATAAGCACGTCGTCAGATTATTCGGTCCAATACACGCAGCTCTAATTGCTTTTGTATCTCGAGTAATAATATCCAGTGATCCTTCTTGACGAATCTGAAGATCATAAAATCCACTCTAGAAGTGGTGGAACGCGGTCTTCCACCTTTGTTATCTGCTGCCAACTTCCCCGTAGAACGATGTTTGGAACATAGTCTTGATATGGTCCATTTTTTCTTGCAATATTTATCACAAATACCTTTTAGTGACATTCCACTTTCGTAATCGCCAATAATTTTTTTTTTAGTTTCAATCTAAGACTGTCGGGAGCTATTTTTGCACTTGAAGTCATAAAAACAATGAAAATAAATAATCACGCTTCTCAAGGCTTACCGTGTTGCATTTACCTTGTGATGATACAATCGTGCTCTGTGGAACACAATGTCTTGGTTGGATGTGGACTCTATTAATGTAATGAAACACTTGTTTTATTTCACTTCTTGAATTGATGTTATTCGATAAAACAATTTACATAACTTACTTTGATATAACTGTCTTGATAATACTGACTGACTGACTTCCATATACTGACTGAATTACATGTCGGTTTAAATGTCTCTTATATAGTAAAATAAACCTGAGTAAACCTGTTCTGGAAGATTTAAGTGCTTTTTTTTAATGCTTCTGGAAGCTTCTGGATACGCCTGGATGCTTCTGAATGTTTCTAGATACTTCTTGATGCTTCTGGATGCTCCCAGACGCTTCTTCTGGGAACTTCTGGAAGCTTCTGTATGTTTCTGGAAACTTCTTGAAACTTCTAGATACTTCCTTTAATTGTTAAATTACTTCCGTGACGTTGACACGCACCAGGCTTAAGAAAATGAAACAAGCCAAAAAATTCACGTATTAGAAAAATCATGATAAGTTTCTGGAATTAATAAATAAACAAGATCCAACAATAATATACTTTATAAAAACAAAACAAGAACTCGGTTCTGAATTGTGTTGCATGTCTGTTGATGACACACATGCATGATTTCACTCAATAGAAAAATCATTACTAGTCATTAAACAAGATACAACAATAATATATACTTTATAAAAAGAAATTAAGAATTCGGTACTTAATGGTCTTTTTTATGTCTGTAGATGACAGACATGCAAGATTTTACTCAATAGAAAATCATTGTTAGTCATTAAACAAGATAAAACAATAATATATACGTTATAAAAAGAAATTAAGAATTCGGTACTTAATAGTCTTTTTTATGTCTGTAGATGACAGACATGCAAGATTTCACTCAATCGAAAAATCATTATTAGTCATTAAACAAAATACAACAATAATATATACTTTATAAAAAGAAATTAAGAACTCGGTACTTAATGGTCTTTTTTATGTCTGTAGATGACAGACATGCAAGATTTCACTCAATCGAAAAATCATTATTAGTGTCTAGAGTTAATAAATAAACAAGGTTCAACAATAATATATACTTTATAAAAAAAAGAAAAAAAAAAGAATTGAATTTTTTAGGTATAACTGTAACCAACATTATTAAATCATACTATAACTTTAAAGCTCATCAAAAGTCGGTTATCACTTTTATGTATTTAAAACCAACATTAAACGTTTATTTAAAAATATTTATAGGGGTTTTTTAAAGATTTTGTATTTCGGCTTTTTTAACGTTTTGTAAATGTTTTTGTATTATAATTAAAAAATAGTTATGGGTGCTTACAAAGTTTTTGTAGCTCGTGATATTGCAATTTGTCCCCAAATTATTTTAATGATGAAATACAGTTTTTAATGAACGTGTTAGCAGAAAATAGACAAGATAGAATAATGCTTGAAAAAACTGCCAACAATCATATTCAGCAATAAACAACCTTTTTTAAATAAATTATAATAAAAATGAATCAAGTAAATATACAGTAAATATAAGTAAATATACAGTTTATATACTGTAAATATACTGTAAATATACACTAAATACACATTAAAGTTTCCATGGCTCCTTAGAATAGGGCCAAACTTAAAAAAAACCTGAACCGTTACAACGTCTGAATAATTTTTACTACACCACTTACGTTTAAAAACATCTTTCTCAAAAATAAGTCAAAAATAATTTCAAAAAACAATCCCAGTGTCTATATACTCACTTGCTGTTGTGGCAGTATATACATTCGCGAAACAAAAACAATAAAATAAACAAGATGCAATGAACATGGTAGAGAAGTTAATGATATGTTTGATTGTTAACATCCGAAAACTCAAAGTTAGAGAACCATTTTAAATTAATCAGGCCATAACGTACCAGGAAATTTAACACACTCCTTTTTTCTCAACTGCGACAAAGGCGTTAAAATTTCTCAATCAGTTGAAGAACTCTGTTTAAAAAATGTTCAACCAAACGGATTTAAATAAGATCAACGAGTGCTTTAAAAGTAACCGACTTTCATTAAGCGTTGATAAAATAAAGTTTATTCTATTTCATAAACCTAGTAAAAGGATTTAATTCCTCTTAAATAACCCAATCTTTTAATCAATAACATTTTAATCAATAATAATAATTAAAAGGGAAATAATTAAAAATATCTAGGATTGCTATTAGAGAAAAAACTGTCATGGAAATATTATGTTAAATCTCAAAATTTAGATCTTAAAAAGTATTTCCGTTTTATATCAAACAAAACCGTTTCTCAATAATCAATTTTTATAAAATATTTTTTTTTGTTCATACGCAGCTATCTTTCTCACTGTAACGTTGCCTGGTGTAGCACTAATCACACTAAACTCAAAAAATATTTATAGGAAAATAAACACGCTTGCAGGATAATTGGGGCAAACAGGAATGCACATTGCGAACCTTTCTTAGGTAAGCTTGGGGCTTTAAATGTTTATAAGATTAAGATTCATCAAGTAATGGTATTTATGTTTAAAGCAAAACGTGATTTATCTCAAGTAACATTTTATTCTTTAACAAAATCTCTCATAAGT